TGTTTATTTTATAAATGTATCATGAATAAATTACTACAAACAGATATTTTTGAGATTTTTTGGAATTCATTAAGTTGTGTGATTATACAGTTAGTGAAATTCAATAGGCTACATTGATTATTCTGTTATATTTGCTTGCTTTTGAAATATTTGGGATGGTTAAATCTTTTTCGGACTGCAAAAGCTTGTGTGGTTGCTTGTGTGGGCCATAAGCCGCAAGAAGTTGGGAACCCCTGCTCTACTACAGTCAACAAACCAGGGCTGTACCATCTGCAGAAGCTGATTTAACCCTTAACGTACTACAAAAATAAACTTGATTGTTATCTTAATAGCTTGGATGTGTGTTCTTGTATTTATATGTGGTTGTTTACATGTTGTCAGCCTGCAGTGACCATCCCAAAACTATACCAGCCCACCAGGATTTCTCCTGACCCTCCCGATTACCCACTCTACAGTGTCCATGGTTATCAACCCACCATCATATTCCATTGTCTAGTGTTATGGTTGACGTGCAAGATAACAATGCTCTGGTTAGCTTTTGTTCACCATACAGCCTTGTGACATTGATTAGGGGAGTGTGAGACAGATTAGAGCTGTGGCCCCATCACGTCAGCACGACCTAAGCCTGTGTGGCATTTCTGAGTATGTGGGGGTGAAAGGCAGTAAAGGGTTCCTAGTGAGTAAACTTACAATTCCAGTAAAACTCCAAGCTGCCTGTACAGGCCCAGACACAGGGTTGCTTTTTGGCACTCTAATTCATTGCTGCAATAGTCACTGCTCATCAAGGCTCAGTGATTGTTGGCGCTACTCACCAACGTCTTCTGGCACAGGAAGGTTTGATAAGCTCATTGAAAAGGAGTTTTGTTGGATAACTGTGTCGGTGAGAACTAGGCGGTGCTGTGAGTGGATCAAATCACCTTGGCCCAGATGAAAGACTCCTTAGAGCAAATTTTATCCGATTAAAAGAAGTTTTTGAATGAAATAAATATTGAACATGACAAAGTCACTGGCATCACTGAGTTAGTGACAATAGAGTTAGTACTGATTTGATGTTAATACATTTTTTACACAGTGGTAAAATGTTTTAGTTTGGCTGAATAGCAGATGATAGTGTTTGTATTGCATATTGCCTCTGAGAGAATGGTAGTGCAAATAATTCATTACACAAAAACACTATTCATAAGCATGGTTTGAATATGCATGTTGCATATGCATATTTGGGTTGTGCCGCCATGCCAATCAGATTTTAAGCTTATTCAGATCCATGCCAAAATGGCCTTGTTTGCTCCCGAGTCCTCAGTAATTCAATTTTGGCAAGTGCAATGTTGTGGTTTTACACAGAATTGAATAATCCACAGTGTTATTGTTTAAACACTGCTCTGTTCATGCAGCAAGCTGCTCAGTATGAGATAATTCAAAATTCTAGGTAGTCTTTCACTTTTAAATGAACACAATATCATTTCAAAACTGCATGATAATCACACTTATAACAGCTCTTATGAAACAGTTCTTATGAGAACTAAGATTCGTTCATGTTAGGATTCATAATTGTCTGATATTTGTTACTTTTTAAACAAAACACTTGTCCTTCTTACTGTTGGAACATTTTTTGTAATTTCACATGAATAGAATACCTTTAGATCATATGAATAAGACTTTCTTAACCTGGGTAACCAAATTGTTGTCTTTCAACTTTATGTATCTTTGCTGACTGGATAATAATTTCTCTGTGACAATTAAGATTCACACTTGTCAAAAATATACTATGATAATCAAGCATGTACAGTACATTTGTGCGCTTTAGTGTTGTCATACAGGAAGCTGTGTTTTTGGGGTTTATATGTTTAAGAGGGACACCATATGGAGAGTGATTCCTCCACAATATCCTGCTTTCAGACTTTAGGATTTTTAGTGGCTTGTCTGTGATTCTTCTAATTATGTCCATTAATCTTGTTGCTAGCTGTCCTCTTCCTCTTTTTGCTTAAGCGTAAATCCTTTTTCACAAAAAAAAATTCTTCATAATTCAATGGTTGAGTTGTAAACAAAGTCATTCAGAGTGGTTTGATGTGAAATGGTTAAATGTAGAGAAACTTAGAGTCAGACTTCTGAACAGTGGTGGTGATGGGAACCATTGGTTGTGATGTCTACAACACAAATCTATCCATTTTATTCATTATCCAAAATGATTAGTGAACCTACTTGCGTCATTTGAGCTTTTATATATAATGTTAGTAATAATAAAATAGTAGTAAATTAAAAAAAAAAATGTTTTCTTTGGGTGCTGTTTTACAACAGCATCTTCACTATGGAAGACAATGGGTTTTTAAAAATGAATTTTGAGCCAAAACCTTATATCATAGCTAGAAATGCCTCATACTTTCAGCGAGGCATTAAACACTTCAGACAGCTGGTTCCTATCACCACCACTGTGAACAATTCTAATTTGATAAGTTTAACTAGAACAACTCATTTCACATGAAATTACACTGAATGACTGGATTACTAGTTTCCTGCTAGTCTAATTTGATTATTATATTGATAAATTCGAACAAAGGGAGCATTGTTTCTGATCGCCAAAGTACACAGATGAGTGTCAATCACAAAGCTTTACAGCAAAGGGAAAAAACTATGATGCTAATGAACCATAGGAAAACTTTACCTCAGAGGTAGTTTGGAGGTAGGAAGGTGGTCAGTGTTAAGGTCTGTTTGCAGATAATACATGTAGTAAGAGCTGGCTCTCTCCCTGTAATGCAGCAGCGGGAGTTGTGCACTGCTGTTATCCAATATCTGACACGCATTCAGTATGGTGTAGGCGCTATGTGCGGAATGCTAGGGCTCTGCTTCCCAAGGGTGAGGGGTTGAAAGGGTCTGTAGGCTTAGGGGCCAGAGTGGCAAAAACAAAATAGTGGAGCGCTTTTTGAGGCCAACACTATAATCTGCTAAGGTTGAGGAGTTTTGGCAGAAATATAGAGTATGTGTTTTGTGGAATATATACCTCTATGCTGTGATAGTTACAATTGCGTATGTGAATACTATGATCTTGTATTTTAGTCATTTGAAAATTAATGCAATTATCTGACATACACTTGAAAAAATGACAAAAATGTTGGCATTCTGAGCAGCAGCCTGCAATAAAATTACTTAGATATTGTCATTGTCCAAAGAAAAACATCAGTCTCCAAAACAGTAACTTTACAGGAGAAGGCAACATTCTTAACGTTGAATATAAGTTAATGCAAACAGTTTTTATTCCAAGTGATTTGAGAGCATTTCTTTGGTTCCATTCAACACAGAATTTTCACACAATGTGAAGGACGGCTGCTGGGCTCAAATGATGTAGATGGAGATGTTTTTTTTTTTTGCAGAGTGACAATATACATTTATATACCTACAAATATAGCTCTAGTGTCTTGATATAAATATTTAAGAGTATATAGTTAGTGATATAGATTGTTCCTCACATTGGCCAGCTCTGGTGTCTACTGTTTTGTTCTCTCTCTCGCACTCTTTCTTTGTGCATGTGTGTCTGGTGGGCGGGGGTAGGGGGGGTGGTCTGTGCATGTGTGAAGAGCAGACACAGTGGGTCTCTAAGAGGTTAGGGACAGGGGGCTGTGGGCCTCAGTAACCCAGCGTGAGCTGAGCTTGGGAAGAACACACTAAAGAACAGACAAGTTTTTCATATACAACTTTGCATATAAGCTGATCTTAATTTGATTTCATTTAGGCCTACTGTACTAGCACCCCAGTCAACTGTGTCTAAAACACTAGTACCACACTACAATAGATGCTTTAAAAAACTTCACTGAGTTGCTAGAAAAAGAAAGATTTGAGAAAGCATGTGCAAATCAGTGTGTATTTGTCTGCAGGTGTTTCAGATGCCTCTTCATGTCAGAATGACCCTCAGGGTCTAGAGCAAAAAAGGCAAAGCCTGAAACAAACACTTAAACAATGGTGTTTCTCCTGCGCTGACCTAAAGCCTTCTGCATCCTTCATTTTCTACCAAATGAACATCCCTAATTATTTCCGTGTGCTTTTCATAAACCTCAGCCGAACGCTTCAAAGATCATGGAGGCTAATTGTGTGCAAAGAGCCATGCTACATGACATAATAACCCTTTGTGTGATGGCTGGTTTGCACCGCAGGTCACATCTTTGAACCAGAAGACCCACACCCCAGGAGCCCCCCACACCTGGAGTTCATTTCCCCATGTCTGACTACGTCTCACATGATAAAACATAATTGTGATTGTGCTTGAATTCAGAACAAAGACCTGATTAGTGAACACACTGCATAGAAACTATTAAAAGTTTGGTTCCTGGTGGCCTTTATTAGTCACTAATGTTATTTTTTGTGTTTCCTGATGGGTTGATATCACCATGTATAATGGTGTAACAGGTGTTCTGGGATGTGAATGATGGTTACCTAATGGGGTCTAAAGATGTCCTAGAGGTAACTAGTGGTTTCTTATGGTAACTGTTAAGCCAATTCCCATTAGAAAGAAGAACCACCACATTTTAATCCCAGTGGTTCTGTGGGTCTTTTTTCAGCAGGGTAAGTTAACTGGTTAAAATGACATTTTACATTGCATGTGCCTTTATGCCAGTAAGACTGTTTTCTTTATACAGGAGGAGAGTAAAGGGTTAAAAGATGTTGCTGCTCCTCATACAGGTGCCACTCCGACTGTAGAGCTTAAATGCCAAATGTGTAAATCAAATTAGAGAAGCTCAGCTGCACTTTGCGTGGAATTTGCTTGGAGAGCTGAAGTAAGCTTTCCAAAATCCAGCGTTAGATATTAAGTAATAGGGCTGAAACACCGCTACCTAATCTCATAGGACTATTAAAAGGTGGTGTGGAGCACCGACTTCTCCACTTCGCGAGCTCCCTGTGCTGACCAGGCGCCCCTCTCTCCCCTCTCGCGAGCCCATGCGAGCGCACACCGACTCCATCCGTCGCCAATTTCCACGGTAGTTCTTCGCTCGTTTTGTGCGGGACACCGAGACTGTGTCGAACTGCAGGAAGGCGTTTTTGCTCCGCTGCGCGTCCGCCTGCCTTTACACGTTGGAAATGTGGTGGATGCTGTTTCCCCGCTGGATCTGGTTTTTGTTTGGGCAGCTCTGCGTCCTGCGCCCGGTCAGGGCTATGACTATCTCCAAAGTGGTGTATTCCCACGCGGGCATGTGTCCCAATGAGATGAATCCCAACCTCTGGGTGGACGCCATGAGTACCTGCATGCGCGAGTGCGAATCCGATCAGGTGAGTGTGATCTCTAGCACTAGTTGTGGTAAAGTTTTTTTCTGGCAGAGCAATTCAGTTTAGCCGCCTCATTCAAGATGAACACGTCGTATTTAATGTTGTTTTAATCTGAGCAGCACGCAGTTTTAGTAGAGAACTTGATTTCTGTAAACAGTCGACTACATAGCCTAAAATGTTATATGAAATGTTTTTGTCCTCTTTTTTGGATTCTAATGTAAGATTGTTTACATTTCTGAATTAAGTAATTAAAACAAAGGCCAACACTTTACTGAACAGCAGCATTCATAAGGCTATATGGCATCTACATTAACTTTTTATCAGTTGACTCTATAAAATAAAATGTCTTTATACTTGTTTTTTTTGTTTGTTTTTTTTGTTTTTTAGAGGGGTATTCTAATTTTTGAGTTTACTGAAGGCACTTTACTGAAGGTTCATAAGGCTATAAAATATTATGTCTGTTTTTCCCTGTTTACTGGTCTAATGCACGTTTGTTTACATTCATAAGTAATTCAAATAAAGGGTTAAACTATACTGAAGGTAGCATTCATAAGGCTACATAAAAAAAAATACATAAATAAATCTTTAACAGTACACTAGATAAAATATGTCCAATGTTTTTATTCTTGTTTTTTGGTTTTCTAAGGTTACTTTGTTTACATTTTTTTAGTTAAATAATAAAAATAAAACATACTAAGCATTTACTGAATGGCAGTAAGTGCCATAAGTCAATACTTCATAAGCCAATACTAAATCCAGATCACTGTGAGTAAAATTGTTGCATTAGAAATGTGATATTACATTATATTTTAACTATTTATGTCTTTATTTCAAGAGGTAGTAAACATTGTCACTTTTTCTCAACCTATACCCTGCAGTAGTAAATTAATTTTTGGTCCTCTTCTTTAGATAGCATCTTTAGAAATGAGATTAAGATTATATAAAGAGTAAGGCATTGCTGATGGACATTCTTGTTATTTCCATGACCCCTAGGACTGTGAGACCTTTGAGAAATGCTGTTTAAATGTGTGTGGAAGCAAGAGCTGCGTGGCTGCAAGGTATATGGACATAAAGGGGAACAAAGGACCAATGGGAATGCCAAAGGAGGCCACTTGCGACAAGTTCATGTGTACCCAGCAGGGCTCCGAATGTGACATCTGGGATGGGCAGCCGGTGTGCAAGTGTCGTGACCGTTGTGAGCGGGAACCTCATTTCACCTGTGCCTCAGATGGCATGACCTACTACAACAAGTGCTACATGGATGCAGAGGCCTGTTCTAAGGGTGTGACCCTAACTGAGGTCACCTGCCGGTACCACCTGATGTGGCCCAACACCAGCCCTCTACCCGAAGAAACAACCATGCATCCCACCACGGTCCGCCTGGAGACAACCCCTATGGACATTCAGCCCCCCACCATGATCAGCAATCCAGCGCACAACTTTGTGTTTGTGGGTGAGACGGCAAGCTTCTTGTGCGAAGTGACTGGTAAGCCCAAACCAGAGATTACCTGGGAGAAGCAGATAGAGGGGAAGGAGAACACGGTCATGCGGCCCAACCACGTACGAGGCAATGTAGTTGTGACTAACATTGCCCAGCTTGTGATCTACAATGCGCAGCTTCAGGATGCTGGTATCTACACCTGCACCGCCAAGAATCTAGGTGGATCTGTACAGGCTCACTTCCCATTGTCTGTCATCCGTAGGGAGCAGGGAAAGGACGACGGCTGGGCAAACTCCACTCGTCTGCCTGCTGAGGAGTGCCTGAAAGCACCTGACATGGGTGACTGTGGGGAGGAGAGCATCAGCTGGTACTATGAGGCCAAACGCAACAACTGCTTCACGTTCACCTACAGCCAGTGCAACAAAAACAGGAATCACTTTGACACATATGAGTCATGCATGCTTTCCTGTGGAGCAGAGCTAGCAGCCCCCTGCTCCCTGCCCAGCCTTCAGGGACCCTGTAAAGCCTATGAGCCACGCTGGGCGTACAACCATCTCCTTAAGCAGTGCCAGTCATTTGTCTATGGTGGCTGTGGTGGCAATGAGAACAATTTTGAAAGCAAGGAGGCCTGTGAGGAGACATGTCCCTTCCCCAAGAACCACAACTGCAAGCTGTGCAAGCCACGGCAGAGGATGGTCACCAGCTTCTGCAAGAGTGACTTTGTGATCTTGGGCCGTATGACGGAGCTGACAGAGGACCAGGACTCAGGTCATGCGCTCATCACTGTAGAGGAGATCCTGAAGGACGAGAAAATGGGCCTGAAATTCTTTGGGCAGGAGCCGCTGGAGGTGACACTGCTTAACATGGACTGGAACTGCCCATGTCCCAACATCACTAATGCAGAGGGCCAACTGATTATCATGGGGGAGGTGCACAACGGCATGGCAGTGCTGCAGCCTGATAGCTTTGTTGGCAGTTCCAGCAGCCGCCGTGTACGCAAGCTCCGCGAGGTCATCAACAAGAAGACATGTGCCTTTCTCAAGGAGTTTGGCAACACACAATAGTGTAATGCTGTTCCCTTGCTTTGGACTCCCGGACAAATTTTGGAATAATTATACTCCATAATTCAGCACTTGGATTGTTTGGAGAAGCAATGCAAAAAACTCCATTAATTTCCTAATAAAATGATACCACACATAACTCCATTGTACAAACTGAAATGATCACTGTTATCTATTTACATGTTTATACTATAGTCTGAAGTCTAACTATTTTTGAGCACTTATGTTGTATAAAGTTGAAGAAATCTTTTTTATATATATTTTAGTATGACTAAAATTCGATAAATTGTGTTTTACTTTTAAATCTAAGCTCTCATTACAGGATATTCTAAATGTCTCATAGGCAATCACTTAAGCTAAATCTTATGGCCTACAGGTCAAGTATGAAAAAGTGGCAAACCTTTCTAACTTTCCATATGTTTACTCTTAGTTATCTCATTGTCAATTTTAATCAAGAAATGTTCAGTGTATGTTCTCGCACCTTGGAATGACGTTTTAGTATATTTACCCTCACATTGATTGATTGATTTATTTTATATTGTACTTATTTATTTTACCAGCCTAACTTTTCATACCTACCATGAACTGAATGATTAGGTAGTCCTTAAAATGCTTTATAAAGTATGTGTGTCGTGAAAATATCATGAGATAACTTTGAATTAACAAAATTACTGATTTTTTTGTTTCCTTGTAAATGTAAATAACACTTAGGAGAAAAAAAGTGATTAAAGAAAATTTTCTGCACTTCTTCTTCTCTCCTTTATTGGTTTATTTCTTTACCGACATAGTTGTGAGTAAGCATGCAAGTATTCAGACTTAAGCACAATGGGTTTTCTGCTCTGCTTTGTAAAGAGGGACATTTTATGCTGGATCATTCCCTCCCCTTTCTCATTCCTCCATTGTCGGTCAGCGCTGGCCCTCGTACTTGAGCAGGTCACATTCCAGCTGTACGGTGGTGGGAGTTAGGGGGGGTTGCTGAGGGGCCGAGGGGGGCCAGTCTGATCCGTGTGTTGTGTCTGGGTCTGGGGCTCTCTCCTCTCCCGCCGACCTTTCATGTGAGTGCTTGGGCTCTAGCAGCCGAGCACCCTGCTGCCTGGCCCCTCTCATCTTCTCGGCCCAGCTCCAGCCATGCCGTGACACTACACTGGTGGGAAACCTGCTGCGCACACACACACACATATACACATGCACACATACACCGTGCTCTGGTTTAAAGGCAGCACTTTGAACTCTTGACTTGAGCCGGATGGGAGAGAGAGGGCCAATACATGCTTGTTTTCCCCAAAGTGGGCCTCTGATCTCGGCTACCTCGGCCTGTCCAATGAGGCCCAGGTCCATGACCCTGTAAGAGGCTAATGAAAGGGGGGGGGGGACGTTGAGAGCAAGAGGGAGAGAGTTCATTAAAACTGTTGACAAGTGTCAAGTACAGCAGTCAGGCTCAAGTTCACTGGCTGCTGACAGCTCATTCTAACAAAGGCACTATTTTTCCCCCTTAGCCCTGGTCCGCTTTCGCTAATTATGAACACTTAAACCTGACTGCAGCCGACAGCCCGGTCATGTTTTAACTTGTGTCGGTCTTCCTCAACTAATTATGTAAAAGAAAAAAGTCCTGTGTATATCACATTTGAGAAATAGTATATAGAATGTAGTACTAAGATATATAGGTAATATTTATATCATAAAACTCAAGCTTTTGTGGGATGGAAAGTGCAACTGTTTGTACAGCTGAATACATTGTAACCATGAATGATATGCATCTAATCACTGAAAAAGTACATTCATGCTTACAGGGCATTCAGCTTAATTATGAATGATATGTAAAAAGTAAATTCGCTTCATCAGACCATCTCATGGTCATTTATTTCCATAAATGACTGACTTCTTTCAACAACAGGCATGTTTGCCACACTGACATCTGCTGGCCATTAGGAGAAGCACATGGACAGATAATTGCCAGTTTCAGAAGCACAATTTTAAGTGATTTGCAGTCCTAATTCTGCGGCCCATGCACTACAAATGTTTATTGCTGCTGTCGGAACAAAACCTTGTACTTCTAAAATTATAGATTTACACGAGAATAAACATAATTTACTTTTAATGTAACTGTTGTGTTTAAAGTCATTTTGCCATTTCCTTTGGTCAATTCATCATGAAATTTACACACAATGTAAAGGGCAACAGGAATTTTCAAATTATGTCAAAAACTGAAGGTACTGAATGAGGTATTGTACTAGCATTACACTTTTTTCTACTGTAACACTTGATTATTTAAACAAAGTGTGTTGGCTTTTAGGAAACACAAAAGTCATCAGGACGTGGACTGAGAATGTAATTTATATAAGTGCTTTGTGAGCTATGCAAAGTATGATGTTTCCTAATTCTTTATCTCAGGGATTTAGCTGAAGATCAAAATACCTTCCAAAGTTACACAATTCCAAATAATTTCATGTTATATTCTGTGTTGTAATCCAGAATACTCTAGGGCAAGAATGGGGACCTGTAAGCCAGAGTCCAGCACAGTTTGGTAATTTCCCTGCTCTAACACACCAACTAAACCTGGCAATCAGCTAGGTTGAATAAGGTTTGTCTGAAGTGGAAAATCACCACATTGTGCGAGAATCTGTCCCTCCAGGACCACCACTATTCTGGGGATAAAAAATAAAAAATTAGATTCTTTATTGTTCTCTGAGGGGAATTTCTTTCCACAGTCTGTGACATACATGCATTTGATAAAAATGACGCAAATGACATACATCCATGTAAACATCACAGAACTGCAGGCAACCCTCCTTTATAGTGTATAAACATAATAGCCCTTCTTAAAATAGCCATATTGTTGAGGACTTACAGGTGTGTATGGGGAGGCCTATAATCTTTGAGACAGTACAATCGAGATGTGCAAGTTTGTTAATAAAAAATAATTGTAAATATTTTAACTTTTAAGTTTTCACCAAATGCCTTTAGCAGATATCCATGTATGTCCTTCTCCACCACTATATATGCCATTTAGTAAGTCATTGTAATGAGCAAGTTTCCCATATTTATGAATTAGTATCTCCTAATTATGACATCAAATCTATTAACTGTGACTTATTATGTCATATAATGATAAAATATCTCATAATTATGACATACAATTTCATAATTATTTTCTTATAATTATGAACTTATATCCCAGAATTATGACTAGTATCTCATACTAATGACTCAGCATCTCATAAATAACGGTCTCATTATTCTGAGATAGCAAGTCATTATAATGAAATCTTATGACTTAGAGAACTTTCTCATTATTATCAGACAATGTGATTATTATGATATACTAAGTCATAAAAGCTTTCTACTTATGACATACTATATGGCCTTTTTTTTAGATGGCGCAAACTGTTTCCGTAGATATGTATAAGTATGTACAGTGCATGCTTTGATTTTGACAGCTTTTTTACAATCATGAGTTGTACGTGTCATGCATAATTTTGTTTAAAAAACAAACATATTTGTAATCATTATTACAAACATTCTATTCTAGTATGCAGAATATGCTGGCCATTTGGTGCATTTGATTAGTAGCTATGTAGTATTCCATGTGCACATATTGAAATGCCTCAGTCTGCCTAGTAGAATGGACCACTAATAGGACATAACACCTGGGGTTTGGGCATGGCAAAGGTCATTTCTGCTCATTAGCATGGAAATCGAAGAGGTAATCTATTCCAAAACAAAATGCAGCCACAAACAAAACAGCCTTTTAAAAAACATTAGTGAGACCACATGACCTTGTCAAGTTTTTCCCCCTTAAATAACAAATGCTATCACAGTTGCTCAGTCCACAGCAGGCAGCAACCTGTTTTCAGAATTCAAAGTCAGCTCCTCTCTATCTGTTGCAGGTCCTGATTGCTGTGTGTCAGCCACTGACTCATCATTTCATGCACGGCTGGCCATGTTGCCGGGCAGAAAAAAGAGTGCTCTGAAATAAACAGCGCAGCTAAGGTGATGCAAAGTCTTTAAAACATTGTGGAGAGGTCAAGCACAGCAGGTCAGCACTACTGAACCTCTAGAATACACACAATAAGTTGTACTAAACATGCAGATACAGCAGTACAAATAAAACCTTTCCTTTGCTAAAGCAGTGATTCTCAAACTGATCCTTAGGACCACATTTTTGCTCCAGCCCAACTCGTAACACATAGGGATTGAGCACAATGTGGTCCTTCTCGGGGGCCCTTAGGACTGGTTAGAACCACTGTACTAAAGAAGCATCCTTTTGAGTGGCATCCAGTTTCTTTTTAAAGAATTACTAATTGAAATGCTCTTTAGGAAACTTAAAGATCTCCAAATAACTTTTTCTGGCACCTTTATTTTTAAGAGTGTAAAATTCTACCTGGAACTACACAAGCTGTTCTCTCAGTGCCAGACAGCAATCTTATACTGAGTCAAGTTGCTACAAGTTTTTATAGTCACTAGATGGCGCCAAAACACTAGTTCTCTCTTCTTTGGCGCTTATATGGGTCTACCTACTCACAATGTAATATTATATCATTACTCTTCCATGGGCTGAAGAAATACATGATATATGCTGTTTTCAGGTTCTTTTGTCTCTGTAACACAACGGCAGTGTGCACAGGCGTCATGAGTGAGTGATCATAGGTCATGTTTAGAAAATCAAGACAAAGACATCAGTTGCTGTAGTGTTTTAGATTAGATAATATAGAAAGGTTAATGGTAGCAATGTCAAACATTTTTCCACAATTTTCCACAACATTTTGCACAACTGCAGACATCACACACGAGATGATGCAGAAGACGTGACCTCATTTGCCTTTGCAGTTGCTATGGCAACTCAGGAAAGCACAGGCATCATTAATATACACATAGCAGTTTAGCTTAGCAGGCTTGATAGAGCTTTCTGTCTATGATTGTCTGTTATGCTGAAACCCCTTACAGGGGCAAGCCAAACTGGTTTATTAAGCTTGTGGTAGTGGATGGTGATGTCGACAAGGCCGTCGCATGAGCCTG